GGTGCTAGTTTTCAGAAGCTTAAGCCAGGCCCGGTAACTCATGATTCATTCTTTCTGCTGCCTGCCAATCCAGATGTAGAACTCTCAGCTCTTTCTTCAGTACCACATCTGCCTGCATGCCCCCATGCTTCCCACCATGACAGTAATGAACTAAATCTCTGGACTGTATGCTAGCCCCAATTAAATGTTTGCCTTTATAAGAGTTGCCATGGTCATGGTGTCTCTTCACATAATAGAAAACTCTAACTAATACAGACTAAATATGTAGATATCGAGGTGGAAGAACTTGATCAATACAGAAGGTGATTAGACACCCAAGGAAGAGGATTTTCTCTAATTAACATTATAGAGTTCATGTTAAACTTTGGCTTGCCAGGATGAAAACAACACCCAAAAAGGGAACCTAGTTGAAAGAGCGCTCAGAAGAACCTAGCCAGTTTGGTCAAGAAGAAATCAAGCTGATATTGACCAGAAAGCTTCCTCCCTGATGGTTAGTCTTTATGACACCAAGAGGTACAATGTAGGCTAATGGTAGAAAAAAGCCAGTAAGTTTTACCTAGCTGTAAACCCTGTGAGCTACAATAAAGACTGAATGGTTACTTTAATTATTCTTTATCAAAAAAAAATACAGGAGTCAGATATTGGGGTAAGAACCTGAAAGATCAGAGAAGCAGAGAAGCCTCCAGCCTTCCTTACCTGCTCCATTCCTTCCTTCAAACAGAGCACATGATCCCGTTTTTTCCAACTTACTACTTCCTCTCCTATCTGTCCTCAGTCTTCCAAAACCTCTGTGGTTAATTTTGGTCGGGTAGTGGCTAACTCTGCCCTCTGACTCCAAGCAAGCTTTCATTGTCAAAATATGACCATTTTCCCCCTTTTGTCTAAAAAGAAAGAAAGAACAAGAAGAAAAGGTGCTGTGGGACAATGGTCTGTACCCTGTCACTTGTACTTTTTTAATAAAACGCTGATTGATCAGTAGCCAGGTAGGAAGTATAGGTGGAGCAACCAGGCAGGAAGTAGAGACAGGGTGACGAGAACAGGAGAATTCTAGGAAGTGGAAGGAGTCTGTCTGCAGTCGAGACAGAGGTAGCCAGACACAGAGGAAGCAAGATGAGAATGCCTCACTGATAAAGAGTACCAAGACACATGGCTAACATAGACAAGAACAATGGGCAATTTAAGATGTAAGAAAGAGTTAATAAGAGGCCTAAACTACTAGTCCAACCAGTTTATAATTAATGTAGATCTCTGTGTGTTTCTTTGGGATGGAATGGCTGCAGGACTGGGTGGGAGAGAAACCTCTATCAATAGCTGTTGGAATGACAAGACATGTTCATGGATAGAATAATGCCGTAAGTGTTATAGAGGTAACCAACTACTTTCTGATTGGATTGAAGACCTGTTCCACAGGAAATACCTAATACCATGAATCTGGTTAGTATCTGTAATAGGGGAGTTCACAGGCCCCATAGATAAACCTATTACTACTATTATTTTGATAAAGGGACAAATCAATATTTCTATATCCATAGAGTCTCACAGCTCTCAAACCTTATCAGAGAAGTTTCTCACGACTGGCCAAAGCACACAGAATAAGTGTCTCACCCCAAATCTTACCTATCATTTATCTATTGCAACCTTTCTCCAAACGGCTCGGGAACCATCACAGACGAGGTTCAGAAAGAATGTAAGAACCAGACATAGGAGGGAATCAATGTGAAACCATGACAGAACCACTGGTCCTCATGAATTCAGATGTAGCTGCCTGCATAAGACTTGTACAAGATCAGGTCAGTCAAAATTTCAGCTTAGAAGTGGGGGGTTTACAAGCCCCTAACACTAGCTGAGGAGCCATTGACAGTTGATACATTTCAGAGGAGGGAATGACAGTTTTCTTTAAGGGTGTGGTCAACTATGCTCCTGTGGAAGGCTCCACACCCAGGGGCATGTGGACAGTACACATTTGATACAGTGAGATATAAAACACATACATACATGGTGTTAAGAGCCAGTGCATATGGAAGATGTGAGAGGTAAATATGATCAAAATTATGATCATATTTATGAAATATATAAATATATATTTATACATATATAAATAATATCAATTGTTAAATATGGATAAAGTTCTCAAAGAATTTAAAAAATATTTTTGAAAGAAGATTCCTTCTCAGTGTTCTGTTTCCTCAGCTTAATGAGCACTACTGTGTTCCACAGTAACGTAACAGACTGGTTTCTAATGGTGACCATAAGCAGGTCATCAATATGGTTTAAATTCTTAGTGTCAACCAGTGTTGTTGAAACATATTAAAAATTCCTCTATAAAGTCATAAATGCAGCCAGCTTGACTCTCTTAAATGATTTAAATGGTATGGAGTAAATTTTTAATATTATTAGCCCTAGACACAAGTATCTATTTAAAATTATTAGTTAAATAATTAAAAAATAACCAGGGTTTATAGTTTATACTTGTAGTAATCCCAGCACTTGGGAGGCTGAGATATCCGTGAGTTCAACAATGTCAGCTTGAACTGTATACTATATCTAAGCCCTCCTGGGTTACAGTAAAAGAACATTCACACACACACACACACACAGAGAGAGAGAGAGAGAGAGAGAGAGAGAGAGAGAGAGAGAGAACCAAAAAACACCTAAACAACCATAAAACACAAAAACAAACACTTTAACAAAATAGAAGTTTGTTTATATTCCACAAACTTAGATTGCCCTAACCCTAATTAGGGTATTTCTCTTCATAGATACACTTTATGCTTAATTAAGGAAATATCTTTAACTAGTCCTACAATACAGGCAGTGTACATGGTTTTATTTGACTATTAGCATCACTATACTAACATGAATGACCGAAAGTAAACCAGTAAGAGCTAATGAGTGCTCTAGAAAATCTCTACATTTTGTTTATTCTGGGGCTCCACAGTTTTCCATCCCATCTCTTACCTGTGCCTCTCCTCCAAGTGCCTTTTAGGAATCCTCTCCTAGAGATCATACACAGAACCAAATAAATATGTTCCCCCACAAAATGAGGACAATATTTGCATCTTACAAGATGCTCAGGTTCTGTAACAGTAATCTCAGGCAAGGTAAAACAAATATAAGATTGAAATGACACTTTTTGAACAATTGACATTTCCCAACAACCCCTCAAATCATAGCTCACTGGCATGGCTAAGCTAATGTGACTCAACTTGGTATCCTAAACATACTTTAAAAAATAAATAAGAGGAGATGGAAGAACTCAGTTGTTTAAAGTGTGCACTAATTTTGAAGAGGAGTTATCTTCCCTACATTTGTCAGGCAGCTCACAGTCACCAGTAGTTCCACATTCCGGGGATCTGATGCCTTTGGCTTCTCAGGCACTTGTACTTGTGTACTTATATCCGCACATAGACATGTAGTTAAAATTAAAAATATAAAAAAATCTGTATATACCTAATTTGACTAGTACGATTAATGACATTACCTGAAAACTTCTTGAAATTGGGATTCATATTTCTTCATTGTATGTGTCCAATTCAAACATACTTAACTAAATATTCATTTGTAGAATCAAATCAAGTATAACCTTAAATATCTTTTCTCATTTGAAAGTAGAGAAAAGACAACCTAAAACTCATGCTTCAAGCACAATCCCAACACTAAGAAGGCTGAAATAGTGAGTTTGAGGTCAAACTAGAGAGTGATAATATCTTTTCAAATTTTTTTTAAGAGTTATCTTTTGACCTACCACAATTTATAATAACACTATGGAGGCAGAGTAAATTCCTTCACCTTTTCTGAAAAGAAATTTATGTGTGCTGGATGTATGTGATGCCAGCTCTCATGTGTGTAAGATGTGTCCCTATGTGCAGGGTTGGAAGCCAGAAAAGAATGCCTAGTGTCCTGCTCTATCTCTCTCAGCCTTATCCTTGAGGCAAGAGCTCCCACTGAACCTCAAACAGGTTTTCAGCTAAGCCCCCGAGTGCTTGAGTAACCGATCCAGCTCCTTGATTTGAATTCGCATCTTCATGCTTGTTCAGGAAGGGCTTTTATATGCACTGTGTCATCTCTCCAGCCCCCAGTAATTATTTTAATATGAATTCCTTCTATTTTATTCACCATCTGTTACTTCTGAGGTGATTTCATATAGAATCTTGATAAAATATTTCGTAAGAGGAAATGAAAGCTTTGAACCAAATATAACTTAAAATCACTTTAAAATAGTAATTCCTTGCCAGATAGTGGTGGTGTATGCCTTTAATCCCAGAACCCGCACCCAGAAGGCAGAGGCAGGCAGATCTCTGTGAGTTCAAGGCCAGCTTGGTCTACAAGAGCTAGTTCCAGGAAAGTCTGCACTGTTGCACAGAGAAACTCTGTCTTGAAAATCAAATAAACAAACAAATAAAAAATATAAATTTCTAAATCTTAACCCCCATTTTCCACAACACCTTTCCAGATTATCATTTTTATTTTTTTCTATAATTTTTTTCAAATAGCTTCTAAATTTCTTAAAAGTATGAGAGTAGTTTGCCTTTTATTGATATTCTGCAATGTCCCTTTTTCTCCCTCCCTCCTCATACCTTTTTCTCCCTCTCCTATTTCTCTCTCACCTGTTTTTTGATAAACTGGTGTGTGTGTGTTTATGTGTGTGTGTTTCCCATATATGTCATTGTCCCAACACAAATTACATTCTAGTAGAGGGAAAAGTGAATATATCATTTAGTCCAGAGAACTATAAATAGTTCCTAGTAACTAGAGTGACATAGTAACACTTGTGTGTAATAAATACTGCTGATAAATGAAATGTACCCATTCCATTTCTTAGAGGATACAGTACTGTATGAAGTACTGATATTTCCTAAAATTAGCATTTTGAACTGGCATTTTCTTTGGAGTCATTGTGTTTTTCTCAACCTTCTGAGCATTACTATGTAGAAAAACAATACAATAGTCTAGTGATTCTTTTATTTCCATTAGAAAAATTTATTTTTTGCTTAAAGAATACATACTGAGTTCTAAAACAACACTGATAAGCAGCCCAGAATTGGTAAGGAAGTCTTCATAGACATTACAGGTATCTGGCTTTTCCTAATCTTTTCTAGTAAAGTTAGGGTAGACAAACTTAGAATAATGTTAACACCTATGTTGCAACTGCACACTAATCAGTTGTACCACACACAAATTCCCTGAGCAGGAAAGTAGTCTTTACTTCAACAGAATCTAGTGTTCTTTGTTTTAAGACAGATCTATATAAACCAGTGTGTCCTGGAAGCTGCTATGTAGCCCAGGTTGGCCTTGAATTTATGAATCATTAGACCTCAACTTCTCAAGTGCTGAGATTACAGGTATGGGCCACCATACCTAGAAATTTCTTTCTATGTTGTAGCAAACATTTGAATAGTTTAAACATATGCAAACTAGCTGTAGGGCCTAATAAGCTAGACTATCTCTCTTTGTTAAGCACAGCTAAATGATCTGAGAGAATCATACCAGAGAATACATTGAGTTCTCAAACTAACCGAGAAGTAAAGCCCCATAATCAATTGGGATCCTTTCAGTTATCAAATTTTTATACTGCCCTTTTCTATATGAGTGTGTTCTTGAATCACTACAATTAGCAAACTGTTTAAAGGGAAAAAAACCTGTTAATTCAAGATAAGGTAACTTGAGGGAAATATACAGTTTCACCAAGTCTTCAGTCTAGATGATAGAGTCAGGGTCTTCTTACTTCTTCAAAAAATATTTCAGTTGTTCCTGCAGGAAAATGATCTGCTCAAGCTTCTGCTTCTTCTGCAACTTGAGCTGTCCTAGCACAGACTGGAAATGACTCTTGAGGGTCAGGTTTTCCAATTTTCTGAGAAGATCTTTCTGTCTTTGTGCTTTGCCCTGAATCTCTTGGAGTTTCTTCTCCTTGTGATGAATCAGCTTCTGAATTCCCAAAATTATTGAACTATGGCCTTCCTTAGCTTTGCACAAGCTAAACTCAATAAACTTGGCTTGTAGCTCCCTTTCCAGATCCTCTTCATAATCATCTTCCTCTTCCTCCTCCTCCTCACCTTCCTCCTCCTCTTCATCTTCATCCTTCTCTTCTTGATCATCATCGTGACAGCTAGACTCATGGAATGTGTTCTGAGATACCGCACATTCTGATGAGACAGGACCACCTATTGCAGTGGGGACAGGACGCCCTGAGACACTTGTTTGACTTTGGACTGTCTTGATTTCATCATCAACGATTTCCCATCGGCTGCTGATAGCTTCAGCATCTGAACAGAGCAGTCTCTTTACTTCCTTTTCCACGTCTTTAGAATCAATGGCGCCACTACCACCTTCTTCACTCTGCTTCATATCAGGGAACTTCCTTGCTGGCTTCCGAAACCGTTTCTTTCTGACATTCTTAAGCGGTGGGGTAATGCCATGCTTCCAAATACATTTTTTCTCGGTTTTCCCTTTGTTTCCCATTGCTGGAGCACCAGCAGAAGGGACGAGCTCTTCGGGAGAAGAGCGGGGATCGCCGTCGGCACTGCACAGAAGCATCTGGGAAATATCCGCTGTCTGATAAAAGGTCTTCCGATCATGAGTTTTCAAGCTTCCGATAACACAAGGCAAATCAACAACCCTGGCCGAGAGCGACACATTATCCACCTGAACGACGCCGTGCCGGGTATCAGGAGATAAGTCGATCTTTAGTTTCTCTCTCATGGTGGCACTGCCAGAACGGATGATTTCCCGGAGAGCAGAAGCATGTTCTGGGGGCAGGCGCAGGATGAACTGACTCTCGAGCTCGTGAGGACGTTCGTCCTGGTGTTTACTCATCTTGGCTCTCAGGCCTGCGTGAGACTGGGAGGCCTGAGAGGGACAAGAGAGGCTTCTGCTCCGGTCTGTTTCTGCAGCAGCGAGCACGAGGCCTCAGGGCGTCTGTCCCCAGCAGCGAGGCTCCCCCAGATCCCAGCTCACAGGCCGCTGGCCTCGCGACTCTGCAGGCCTCGGACACCCTACTGGTCCGAGGACGCCCTACTCGGAAGCTGCTGCCACGGCGGGCCTCACGGCCACTGTAGGCCTAAAAGTCCTCTCTGAGCCTCAGGACATCCCGCGAACCTCTTTAGGCCTCCCTGGTCCTCCTAGGTTCTCCGCAATGGCCACGGTCGCCCCAGGCCTCCACAGGCCTCTGGCTGCTGCTCACCCGACAGCACAGAGCCTCGAGGCAGAAGGTAGCGCGTGCTTCCACACCTGACCGGAACTGACTTGAAAAGGGTCCCTCGGGCAGGGGGAAGGGTGCACAATAGGCACTTCCGGTCAGGAGCCCAGCGACCCTCCTTGAGGAAAACAGGAAATGGTTGGAGGGTTTCCGCCCTTTGGTTGATCAGGGTGTTTGCATGTATGGCTGTCTCGTTTTCTGTTTTTCACTATGATTAAAGTACCATGAGCCGTTTGATTGTCATCTGGCCAGGACAGCGCATGTGCTACTGGAATCTTCGCCATTGCAACAGAAATCCCTCCCTACTCAGCCCATCTTTTATTTCTAGTCTTTGATTGATTGATTGATTGATTTTTAGAGACAGGGTTTCTCTGTGTAGCACTGTCTGCCCTGGAACTACCTCAAATAGACCAGGCTGGCCTCGAACTCAGAGATCCACCTGCCTCTGCTTCCTGAGTGCTGGGATTAAAGTCAGTCATGCGCCACCATCGCCTGGCATATTTCTCATCTTTTACAGAAGGGCAGGAGGCTCTGGGCTCATCACTACACATGTCCAGGTCTAAACAGCTACTGGTTATTCCAAAAGCCAGAAACATGGGATGGGGGTGGGGACTGTTCTTAAACAAATACTTCACCGAGGTATGAGTTATAAATTCCAAACTGAAAATTGCATTTAAAATTGGGAGCCATTGCCAGTAACTGTTGACACGGTACAATGACTTTACCCCTAAATAGCCTAATGTTGGTTCACAAAAACAAGAATACAGAATTCCCTTTTCATCGTCAAAAAACAACCCCTCAACTCTGGAAAATCACACTGGTGTAATACGATTATCCAACCTACAATCTTTATATAGTTTTTCCTAGACAGGCTTTAGAACAAAAAAGAAAATGAGAGGGCTAGCATGAATCTATAATCCAACAAATTTATTATTACCGCTGTTGTTTTCCTTGGAAAATGAAGACAATCTACAAATATGTGACTTTTCATTTTTCATATACCTCGAGTCTTTAAATAAAATTTAAATTTAAAGATAAGTACATATTATAAATGCTGACAAGATACACAAACACATTATTAGTGTTGCCACTGAATGGAATTTTGAATAACCCCAGATTCTCCCTCTGCTAGCTTTGAAGTAAAAAGCAGTACAGCAATCTGAATATTCATTTTTTTCACTTACCCACATAGCAAGGCAAATAATTTTGAAGGCCTACTATAGCCCTGTTCTTGGTGAAATAAGGTTTGAATAGACTACGATCATTAATGGTTCCTTATCTATGAGTACTATAAAGCACAAGAATAAATCAAGAAATTATCTATAACCCTTAATTTTAAAAAATCTGAATCAATTTTACTATTGAGTTTGGAAAACTCAAACCACAGCTGAGGAGATGGAGAGGAGAGGATCTCATGTAGCCCAGGCTAGCCTCAAGAAAACCAAATAGTAGCTGAGGATAACCTCCCAAGTGCTGAGATTACAATAGTACATTACTATGTATGATTTCATCAGTTGCTAAGCATATTGGAAATAGAAATAATTACTCTTATGATTTTAAAGTTTTTGTCATAGTCATATTTTCGTAAGTAATATATCTATATACATATCTGTGTGTGTCACATGGAGCGAAGCAGCAACACAAATACAGAAAGACCTCCTATATATACCATGTGTGACTATATGTGTGTGTGTGTGTGTGTATACAGTGTAACTATTGTCTATATCTCTATATATACGTGTGTGTGTGTGTGTGTGTTAAGGCCCAGTCCCATCCAGCATCAGAATTTGGCAACTTTGGTCACTTGGTTAAGTCTTTAGAGTCAAGCATATAAGAAAGGGATTGTGGAATCTCCCTCCATGACTAAGAAAAGTTGCTGAGGTCAGGTGTTTCAGGGGTGTCCCTGCATGGAGGTCTAGAGAGGCCATTGTGTGAAGTTGTGAAGGTGAAGCCTGGATTGTATCAGAGGCCCCAAGATTTTGGAGATGCTGGAGTTGTTTGGAGAGCTGTAGACAGGGTGTGAAACTAGCCCAAGAGAAAGAAGTGTGCTGCAGTCAACAAAGCTGGGAGGAGTTGGAGTTCTGAAGACTGCTTTAGCATCAAACATGGAGATGCAGAATTTGCCATGCTCTTTTTCAGCCTGACATTGGTAGTTCCTCATTATGGCCCCTTTCCTCCCTTTCTGGAAAGTAATGCATATTCTATACCACTGTGTGCTGGAAGTTTGTGATCCGTGCTCCGATTCTGCCCCCTGCCTGCTTTCTTGCCACCATGCTTCTCGCCATGAAGATGACAGACTAAACTCCTGAAACTGTAAGCGAGCCTCCAATTAAATGCGTTCTTTCATAGCAGTTACCTTGGTCGTGGTATCTCTTCACAGCAACAGAACAGTGACTAACAAATACTATGTCAGTATCTTAAGCAGATGTAAAATTTACTCAAAAAGAAAATTCTAAAGAACAAAATGAGAATAGACATAAGTAACTTCTCTACTGATCTCTTTCTTCACCTCAGTGGGTCCTATCATATGCACATTGTACTGTTCTGTTCTCAGGCCAGTACTTGCCTTCAAGACTGAACTATTTCATGCTTTATTATCTATTCTAGCCGACTGTTTTTGGGTGCTGTTTACTACTATCATAATACGCTTACTTAAAGTTTGTTTTTCTCCTGAAATGTTCCTTCATTTTCTTATTTGCATGCACACCTCAGTAAAGGCCATTTTCTTGGCTTGTATGATTCACTTCATATTTGTTTGTAAATATTTGACTGCACTGCACAGCGGTGAGTTTTATCATTTGTGATGAAATTCTAGATAAGGCACCTCAGGAAACATTTGTGCTACGGCTAAAGAGTGGTGAGTTACAGAAGTGACTAAGTGGGAAACTATTTTTACCACAGGCAATACCACCCACCCAGTCCTCCTGGAGAGGAGGATGTCACAAGCTAAAAAAAAAAAATAAGAGATAATTCAGGAAAGAGCATCCTTCTAAATGAGTCGTAATTTCACATTCAATGCAATGTGATAACGAAACAGGGAAGAACCAGCTAAGCATCTTTGTGTGCATCTGTCAAGCAGTTATAAAGTTGCTTCAGTGATAACATGGAGAAGATAACCACATCATTCACTGCTAGAAGCCAGAGCTTGTGAACTTTTCCAGATACTTCAAATAAACATTGCTAGATTAATTTATGGGTGAGATATTTTTCTTTATTTGAGTGTGTGTGTGTGTGTATGTGTATGTATGCATGTTGCATGCATGCTCAAGTGTGTGCATGCAGATGCTAGAGAATTTACTTTTGTTTATTTATTGGAACTGTGTGTGCACCTGAGTGTACCATACATGCATATAGAAGTCAGAGGGCACTTTATGGAAATTAGTTTCCTCCTTCTACTATGTGGGTCCCAGGGATCATGTCCTGAGATCAGCAGGCTTGGTGGTAAGAGCATTTACCAGATGAACCATCTCACCCACCTGCCTCCTTTTTAAAAAAATATTTTCAAAATTTTTGTGATTATATTTGCATTATTTCCATTTTCCTGATCCCTTTCCTCCATCTGGACACTTCCATGTACCACCTTGTTTGTTTTGTTTCAAATTCATGGTCTATCTCTTTTTTAAATTGTTTTGTGTATTATGTGTGTGTGTGCATGTATTCCTAAACTTACAACTACAATATGTTAAATAATATTGTTTATATGTATATTTTTCACTGCTGAACATTTAGCATTGGATGGCCAACTAATGTACTCTTCCTAGGGAAGAAGACTGTCCCACACCCAGCATTCCTTAATTGCCTGTAGTTTGTTGTTGGTGGTGGTGGTGTTGGTGGTGGTGGTGGTGGTTGGGCTTGAAGCTTTGTGAAATTTCATCAGGCATGTCAATGGGTGTCATCCTTATTTGGGTCATGCTTAGGGAACTATGTTAATGAGACTCTATGGGTATAGTTTCTAACCTTTCTAGGAGACATGACCTCACACAATAACCCTAAGGGTGCAGAAAGGGCACACATAACTTGATGGTAACCAACAGCTCATTAATTAGACTTAAGGCCTACTCAACAAGAGGGAAGGAAAGCATGCCTGATACCAGAAACTTATCCAAGTACCCAGAGCTGGTGAAGCCATAGAACTGAAGGAGATCTACCACTGCCACTTAACTAAGCCAGCACAATGCCTAACTACATTCAAAGTATTTATCCTTATTCCCACAGATGAATGTAATTCTCACCCTTCATCAAGGATATTTTTCTTTGCAACAAAAAGAGACCATTACAGAAAACTACAACCAATCAAAATGCAGAATTGTGGAGTTCAGTCCCAATCGATTCATCTACAACACAACTCCTGTACCGAAGGTTCAGGGATCATTGCATAAGAAGGGACAGAAAGAGTCCCAAAGCCAGAGGAAGAGATTTCTCTGCGATTGTATTGCCCTATTTCTTGAGACAGACTCTTTCATGACCTGGAAGTTCTGCGTTCCTATTGAGGTTGGATGATCAATGAGTCCCCAGTGTCTGCCTGACTTTGCCCTCTCCCCCAGTGATAGGGTGGACAGGCAACTTCAGTCATGCCTAGATTTTGACATAGATGCTAGGGATTTGAACTCAGATCTTTGTGCTTACACAGCAAGTACTCTTATCCACTGAGCCATTTCTCCAGTGGATAAGTTTTTACATGTTTTTACTATTTTATTCTTTGATAAGTATATGCATACAATATATTTTGATTATTTTTA